TTTATCTTTTGTTGCATCTCAGTGCTGCTGATCTCCCGCAGCCTCCTTGCAGCCACTAGTGATGGTGACAACAGTGGACCTCTGTAGTATGTGTTAAATGGTCACTGATTGTCTCCATCTTAAGCCCCTTGTGACAGGATGACAACGCAAAAGCACATTTAGAAGAAGGGGACAAACCTTTGTCACCTGATCACAGGAAGAGCCTGAACAAGGTGTTTCATGGCAGGATCTTACGCAAGATTTAAAGATATTGAAAATAACTTTTGTTGGAGATTTTAGAGGGAGGGTTTACATTTAAAGTCCCACCAACATTCAGGTTTTGTAGATATATACAAACACATGTAGTTTACCCATTCTGCTGAGGCATTAATTGTTCTAAGGGTAGATTAAATATGTTAACGGCAAAACAAACAATGTTTGGACTCATACATGTGAGGTGCAAAACATACATAAGCATGCTGTCCCCTGTTATCCTGGCAGCATTCCCCTGATACTCTGAGCAACCTTTGAGTGGAGGTGCCAAGGCAAATTATCCTTCTGTGGCCTGGCATGCCCTAAACTTTGCTCTTGCTAGGTGCAGTCATGTCTTATTCCTGCATAGCTCAGTACAATTATTCGAAACCCAGAACAGCAAACGGGCATAAGAAATATTTGTAAAGAGCCACCTTTTAAAGCCCATCAGACTTTAAAACAGGTTTTTTTTTTTAATCACATGTAATTTCTTGAATGTCTACAGTGATGTACCATTGGATCCTCTAACACAGGGGTGCCCACAATTTTTTGTGTAAAGATCTACTTTTCAAATGACGAGCTACATGAGATCTACCAACGAAAAAAAACCTCCCTCGCTCTCTCTCCTGGCTGTCTCTCCTTGTTCATCCTCCTGGCTGTCTCTCCTTGCCCTCCTGGCTCTCTCCTTGCTCATGCTCCTGGCTGTCTCTCCTTGCTTTCCTGGCTGTCTCTCCTCGTTTTCTCTCCTGGCTCATCCTCCTGGCTGCCTCTCCTCGTTTTCTCTCCTGGCTGTCTCTCCTTGCTCTCTCCCCTGGCAGTCTCTCCTCTCTCTCTTTCCTGGCTCTCTCTCCTGTCTGTCTCTCCCCGCTCTCTCTCCTGGCTCACCTTGCTGTATTTTGCAACAGGCTGTGTAAACTAATATTCTTTGATGTAATACATAGGACTTCAACCACCAGTATCCACCAAAAAGGTGTCAGGGAGCTTGGCTCAGCAGACTCAGGCTAATAGGTAATCATGTGTGCACAGCTAAATAAATATACCAAAATGGAAGGGGCCACCATTCACACCCTTAGTGATCTACCAGCATCAGCTTTGAGATCTACTGGTAGATCACGATCTACCTAATGGGCACCCCTGCTCTAACAGATACAGGACAACAAATAGTCCTATTTAACAAGGCAGTGCAAAGAGCAACAACGTACAAATCACTGTAACCTAAAGCAGCCATCAGAAATAATCTTTTTAACCTACGTGGCTACATTAAACTGATAATAGGTTGCTACGGGTTACTGCACTTTGTAATGCTTTAAAATAACTATTAAATGAGAAAAACAAAACAATGGAAGCTACATAGTATTTGAGGTTGACTAAAGACACAGGTCCATCGACTTCAACCTTTGTGTGTCTGTGATTGTGCATGTGTGTACACCAGTCCCGGTGTGATCTTGTTTTTAAGAGTACCTGTACCCTGTATGTTATGGTCTCTGAGGAAGGTACAGTGGTACCTCGGTTCACAAACTTAATTCGTTCCACGATTCTAATCGCAAACCAAATTGGTTGCGAACCGAATCAAACTGTGATCAGACCGCGATCTCGACTAGAGGAAGCCACGACCATGTGTCAGAGCAGGGAAGATGGCTGTGGTTGTGTTCATCACCCGATGCGAAGTTCACAAATGGAAGCAAAATTTTGCTGAACTTCCTGTTCGCAAACAGAAGCGTTTGTGAACCGAGGTATCACTGTATCTAAATGCTTTTTGAATGATTCGATACTCTCTGCTGATACCACTGCTTGTGGCAACAAGCTGGCTCTTCTTCTAAAAATTATATTTGCCTGGCTCTCCTACTGACCCTTTTACTCAATATTTTGAGTCAGTGGTCTGGCACAAGTGTGGAGATAGGGCCAGACTACATTCTGACTTTCCTGATCTACACGCTTGTTTCTGGTTAGTGAATGTATAAAGTCACAGGATTTGCATACCAGCAGTCATCTAGTATTTTCATGAGGAAAAGAAAATAGCGGCTGCCCTGTATTGTTTGATGTTAAATGAGGCTGTGAGCCAGCACACAAGGTATCTTGTTGCCTTAATCCCCATGCTACCTTGTGCATGCATTTGTTAGTACATGCAGAGAAGTGTGTCATGTTATATATATATAAAATTGTTTTTATTTTTTGTTAACAAAGGTTGCAATGTACATACAGAAACAGATCAGAAACAGATCAGAAACAGATCAGAAACAGATCAGAAACAGATCAGAAACAGATCAGAAGCACATCTCAGCACACAGGGATGCACAGACCTGCATTTCCATGCCATGTTCCTTTACTTGACAATCCAACAATAACCATCTCTAAATGAAATAAAACAACCATGCACCGAGAGACCAGTGCGGGCCACCACTAATGACCTCTTTCTGAAAAGCTAGTTGTCTGCCTCTCATGCTGATCTAATGGCTTAGCACTGAGCCACTAACACACAGAAAAAGAATAAAAAACCCAATAGGACTTTAAAATCTGCAAATGTAGCTTAAAGGAGAACTATGAGGTGGGTGCTTTTTACTCACCTCATAGTTCTAGCCGACCTGTGACAATGAGACTGTCACAGGTCGGCTCAGTAGATCGGGAGGTGAGCAAACACATACCGGCGTTCGCTCACCTCTCGATCCTGTCACGGCTCTCTGCTGTGAAAGGGGAGGGGCTGGATTCCCCCCTCCGATAGCGCTTACTGGCAGAACGGTAGGGGGAGGGGGCGGGTACAGCTGGCTCTGCCTCTAGATAGGCAGAGCCAGCTGTCAGTCACGCAGCTGGGCGGATACCGGCACAATTGTCGGGATCCGCTTCAGCTGCGGCTTCTCAGTATACCGCAAGACTTCTTCACTGTTTTTTCGGTTTCCTGTATGCTAGACCTTCAGACACCCTGACTCTTTCAAGTGCTGCCCACCTGGAGGATGAACGTTGGCGCCAGTGACTTTGTTGTTGGACTTTAAATGTACTAAAAAAACATCCATGGAAAGTCAATATATTGCCGGGTCTACAAACGATTAATGAAAACAAGTTTTATTTCAAGTGATACATAGGGCCTTTTTTTCGAATAGGTGCACTTTATACATACTGAGGAGAAGTTTGTCTTTATAAATTAGAACCCATCACCCACAAATATAATAATAAAAAAAATACAAAGGAGGAAAAACACTTTGAATTTTGTCATCTTAGGAACAGTCATAAACGGAAGCACAAGTTTACAGCAGACCTGTTAGTATCAGCAGTTCACAAGACAACAGTCTTACGGCACAAGAGGTCCAATGCGCGTGTCAGCAGGCACTTGAGACAAAACACTGCGGAGACGAGATGCTCTTTCTGGGAAATTCACTGATAAACCAAGAGCTTTACCACAGGCACAGTGAGAGTGAGGGCCCCATACACAATGGCTGCAGCGAGTGTGTTTGATTGCATTGCAGAGCACTGCACTTATATAGCCCGAGCAAGGTTGCCCTGTAGCCACCATGGATGCGGTTTAAACTTTCCCAAAATGGAGCTCAAGGGTACTTTAAAGGATTCAACAAAAGCTGCTGCAAGCTGGCTGGAAGCTTTAAAAATGTTTTGTAATATCTTGCTGTACATGCTACTGTATGTGAAGGTTCTCATTCCTCCAGGTCATGGTATATCTGTAAAAAAATAAGTCAAGGCAACTGGGACTTGCTGTATTTTTCTTGAAGACGTTTCACTGGTCATCCAACCAGCTTTCTCAATTCAGAATGACTTGTACAAAAATTATCTGGGAATATTCACCATATTTATTCCCAGAGAATTTTTCTGCAAGACATTCTGAATTGAGAAAGCTGGTTGGATGACCAGTGAAACGTCTTCAAGAAAAATACAGCAAGTCCAGTTGGCTTGACTTATTTTTCACAGATGTACATGCTACTATTATACAAGCAGAAGCCCATATGTACAGAGCATTTATTGTCCACAGTTACAGTCATCTACAAAAGGGTTGGGGACAAAGGCTTTATTGACTATATAAAAATATATGCTCAGGGCAGTGTGATGTCCTTCTCAACGATGGCAGATATCAGTGTATATTCCCGCCATACTTTTGGGATCACATAACTGCAACATGAGGCTATACTGGCAAGCTATCTAAAAGAGAAAAGTTTATGAATTCTGTAAGTAGCTACCACATTCCCCCTGCCATGTTCTAGTGCAGTAAGGTAGAATACAAAATCTCAAGCTGTACTGTGGGAAATTATAGCTTTCGTTCACTTTTTCATTACCATGTTTACGTTTCTAAGACTTCTCTACTTGAAGAAATACAGACGCTGCCACTGCTGAGCTCATGCTAAAAATACATGTTTCCTGGCAGTCTGACTGTAGTCGTTTCTGACTCACGGACCTCGAACGAGCATGCAAATTATAAAGTTAATAGGGAAGTACTGATGTGTACCGGTACTTAGTCAGTGCCTCAAAGTACTGAAGCCTCTCAATCAGCATCAACAACTAGCATTTTCCTAGGAATAGGTCAGGAATGGCAACCTCAATATTCTATCTAAACAGGATTTTTTTTTTTTAACTGCATAGTAAAACAAAAAAGGTGAACTCCAAAGTTTATTCAAGGGCAACCTGATCAGGACCCAGCAGTGAAAGAACAAACCAATCACACCTATTGCAACCAGTGTGCATAGAGCCTAAAGTGGGACAACACTCTAAAACTTTGACATCAGGTATGTAGAACATATCTATAAAGGAAAAAACAAAAAGTTAAACCCATTTCTGGATAAAAACATCACTTTCCCTTATTAGTGGCAATGGCAACAGTTGTGCAAATTACATTAGGGGGGTCACGGAATGGCTGCAAGAATTCAACACCTACAGTGGTCCAGCAATCTTTGCCTCTGGAGAGGCTTTTACTGCTGTGCAGCAATAGGCTACTTGTTGAATGAAAATACTGCTTTAGTACTACCAGTTTAAACACAAAATGACATGTCTTGCTCAGGTATCTGCACCAGTTGTAGTGCAAGAACTATTACATAGGCCAGAGCTACAGCTTACACAGCTGCGTAAATACAACTGCAATATGGGTAACAAGGCACTCCATGCCGAACATGGCACACTCATATGAACGGAATCACACAGGTCCTTAAGAAGGTATTTAAAGAGCAATGGTTACTTGTTTCTCACTTCGGCTGCAAGATGGGAACAATCTTCCAACATGGGAATGTGTTTATCTTATGCGAGTCACCAAGGTGCATGGTCCAACTGCTGCAGTGGAATCCCCAATTTCTTACCACTTGTCAAAGGGTGCATAGCAGGATAGTAGATGCATGTTATACATACACGGTTGGAAACTGGGGATGAAATCAGTTAGTTCAGATGCAGTTCCTAACATTGACCTCAAACATCAGTAACTGGGAGGCTGGCATCATCTATGTCAACACCAGTGTCTGCTAAACTGATGGACATGTTGTTGGAAAATAAAGGGATCATTTTGCTAGTCTGGTTTCCTGAAGAGACAGTCGTGATCTTGGGATGTCCTGGCTGGTTCTTGGTAAAGGTGCTAGGCTCGTCCCTGTCCCGAAATGGTGTCCCGGGGTCAGAGTGCTGAAGTCGGGCGGCCGAGTGAGGGAGACTGAAGGTGCGAAAAGAGGAGCTGTGCTCGGAGTATGAGGTGGGGGCCTCCTGCAAAGAACCATAAATTAGGTTAAAAACAATCATTGCTAATTGGAGCAGGTTAGTAAGTCAGTGTCAGCCTCAAAAACAGTGAAACAGCCAGAGAGTGAGTCAGCAACTGTAAGAGCAAGAAGCAAGGTAAGCCATTACATAAACTAGATTATTCCTTCATGTCCTTACAAGAACCGGATAAAGATGAAGGTATTCATGGGCACTTGACTTGTGTGAAGCCAACTCTGCTCAAAATATATCCATGAGTAATAACATTTTAACACGCTGAATTGTGCTGGCATCCTTAACTACCAGTTAAGGCATGTTCAGGCAGAGCTGTAAAAGGCTGTTGTTAGGGTTATAAGTGTAAAACAAAGCAGTTTAATAATGTGATTGGTTGGTCTCAGTGACTTCCTGAGATTAGGCATGCTTTGTCAACTGTTTAAACATGTTGCATGCAAGAATGAGAACATTATGCTGTGGTACAGCTACATACACAAAACCCACTGATGAGAACAGATGAATGAATGGGAACTATGTGGACATGGAGGGTGGGTTACATGTTATGGGGAGGCAGCGATTGGTCAGTACTGTGGGCATGCATGGCTGCCCATATACCTCGGAATACAGGGATTTGAAAGACGTCTGACCTGTCGCATCTGCGGGGAGACAGGGCAGGGTGGGAATTAGATACACCTTAAGGAGGGTGGAATAAAGAAGGGAGAAGAGAAAGAAAGAGTTGAAAGAGACAGAAAAGGCTGCTGGCAAAAGATTCAAGTGGTCTGTAAAAGGAAGATAACACACATATTTAGAGGGGAACTACATCTAAAAGCAAGTTTCCACAGGTATATTCTTTTAGGTATTATTGGGCATTCCCTTACCTACACAATTGTTCATAAAGTTCAACCCAGCAGAAAGCTTCTAACAAGCCCAACATAAAGATTGTTCAATTTTGCAGTAAAAAAGAAAAAACAAAAATGAGAAGCAACCTTGTTGCCATAGTTCTATTCATTGTCTAAGATTTTCTTCAGCATCAGGACCAGTAACTATGCTCACAGTGCTTCAGATACTTCATTCTTACAGACAGAAGAGTGAAGGATTGGGTTATGCTCATATGGAAATTTCCCAAGAGATGATAAAGAGCCTGCCATTCCCATTACACCCTGCAGCACGAACCATCCAGTAATCGTCAGCAATGCTTGAAATCAGGAACATCACTTAGCAAGCCATTTATGGCTACCTCAAGAGTCTAGACAGCAGCCTCCTTGTCCAAAACCAGATGCATTTCTTACCAACTCAATCAATGATATCCATAAATTCATGAACTGTTTAGCACACAAAAACTGCCAATTTGATCAACTAGGAAGATAAAATTCCAGCATTGTTTGCGATTATCAGGTGGGTGTATGGGTAAGGAGTTTTAGAGCACTGGTCAAACAATTCTTTACAACATTGAAAATGTTGTTGCCAAGCTACTGTTCAAGAAAAGCACACACCTGGATAGAAAAAAAAAAGCTCAAAAATACCTGACAGAAAAATAAACTGTGGCCAATGCAGAATACAAGGATTGTTGAATAAAGACCTTTCCTTAAACTAATAAAATGTGTCTACGGGTATCATTCTTGTGATGAAGTTACAGGCCTCTTTATTATGTTCACCTGACTTCCTAATTAGGAGTCTATGTAGATGCAGCAGTAAATGGCAAAGAAAAAGAAGTAATACCAGAGGAACAAAATGGTGTTAAAATTTCAAAAAACTTTCACAATACCTCATGTAATATGTTTAGTTTCATAGTCCCTTAGTAAAATATCTGTAGCACAATCCAATAGGTTACAATGCTATTTTCGGAGGCTCCTTTATAAAAATGGCAAAATGCAAATGATTCTGGAAATAGACTGTGTTATTCTATTTTAGAGTCGTAAAGATAGTCTTATTTTCATATGCATCTGCTGTTACTGCATGAGTACTTGGTACTGTAGCAATAGTTGGTAGTTTAGCATTAACAGTATCCAAGTGACTAGCTCCTATTCTACTTTACACACACGGAAACACTTGGGAGTCTCAGGCGTGGAATTTTCTCATAGGACTGGGATTTGTACATACAGAGGAGCTAGCACTGTCCTGCTGGCTTCATCCATAGAATGCAGTTCTGTGCAAAGAGGAAAATCAGACATTTAGTGTGGTGTGTATGAGCAAAGAATATGCAGGAAATCAGATCACCGTAGGCCAGAAATAACTTGCCCTATATGTCTACACATCACAGTCATAAACCACAACATAGCTGTGTCCTGCAGCTTGCATAGAGCCACCAGCAACTTCCACCCCAGAGCTACATGTGGGAGATGAAACCTACAGAAGCTGCAGATCTGGCTGGCCCACGCTGCGCCACAATAGCCCCAGATATGGCTCGGATCCAGCTGTGCATTTCTTCTGGACTGTCCGCCTGCCAGGGGTGAATACAAAACAGACATTATGTAGCGAACACTTAAATATGTGAAGGATACACCACTTTATTTTAAACACACCATGCTTAAATCATGCTAGAAGCATACTTTGTTAGAAACTAAGTTACCTGGTTCAAGAATAATTTAAAATACAAATATATCAATCACTCCCCAGCTAGTGAAGAAAGCAACTTAATATTTTAATAAATATGTGAGCATTTTATAAACATTTATTGATGAGTATGTATGTTTTAAAGGCCTACTAGAAAATTAGATATTTAACGGGAACCTGTACTTTGCCACTGTGGGGCAAAGTGAAAGATCCACTTTAGTGATGGTTCCACCAGCAGTACATTTTTGCCTCTCCTTTGCTCACTGGCTTCTCTATACAGCCGTCAGGAGCAAAATGTCCAGTGCTTAAAAGTATGGGGGAGCAGGTGACTCACGCCCCCTTTTTTCTATCCGACATTTTTGAGTGCCTACGTGGCCAATCACCCAGCACCAGTCCTGCCACATAGGGACAGACAGAGAGTCCTTATCTCTGTGTAGGCTACAAGTTGTGACATGAAGCTTACAAAGGGCTCAATGGTGCAACAGGAAAATGAAAGCAAATATAAACTGCAGCCACCATTAAATTGTTGCTTTGCATGGACTGCTTATTCATTAAAGTGAACTCCAACAATAAAACTGTTCAGTTAACACCACATGCCACCTACTACTTTGTTTGTGTGAAAAGGCAGAGCTGGTGTTTAGTGATCGTGTTACACAGAATCACAGGGAGGGAGGCAGCTGTATACAGCCTGCTTTACAATCCGACCCTGGTGTCAGACTGAATTTCCTGTGGAGAACATTTAGAATTTCTAGGATTCATGCCTGATATAACAAAGAAAGCCTGCAATGTGAGTCATGAAAATATGCACATGTATACATCATCACTGCACCTCTACATTACCACAATAAATGCTAATTGCTTAAAAAGGTGGAAATGGAATTTAAGTAAAACACATATAACCAATGACTTAGGGGAGAGGTAGGTCCATGGATGAAGGATGTAAACTGAAAAGGTAGTAATCTCTAAACGAGATACGTATAGATATTAGAGCCCTTTAAGCAGCATTATTTTAGATGGGGAGGGGGCTAGCAATGCCGAATCCTTTAAAAGGAGAGTGTAAGGTGATCAACTACACTTATATGATAAGGTAGGCAGGGAAAAGGAGACTCTGTAATGCCAATAGGCGAACAAAAATAAGAGCAGGGGAAGAAGAGTCCTTCCAAGTTAGAACCAAAAGTGGTCCAGGGATGTGATAGTCATACTATACCCTGCCTGACCAAGTATATGTAAATATGTGATTCTAGGAATCCATAAACTAGGTCCTGATAAGGGGAAAAAAATCAACCATAGAGAAGCTTGGGTTAGGAATCCACCTAGGAGCACTAGAAAAAATAAGTGCAAAAAATAACAGGAAGAGGAATTATCCTCCAAGAGCCAGGGCCCACAAAAGGACTCTATACTACGGAAAATTGTATACTTACCTATCGGTAATTTTCCTTTCCTGACGTATGGCAGCATACAATGGTGGGGGGCGGAGCCATACCCATTGTATGCTGCCATGTATTGGCGTCAGGAATTACAATATCCCACTTAGAGGGAGGTGTAGAAATTATTAGTAATGGATGCTTCCTTGCGAGAGGGAAGGAGGAGCACTTATGGGAAGGACCCACTCTGTTAGAGTAGGGAACATCAGATAAAAGGTATCTGAAAACTGTTTGTAAAACCAGACTCGAGTTGTGTGCAAGAAGATACATCAATTGAGAGAAAACTTCCACTAAAATCCAGCAACAGTCAGTAGGAGTCTGAAATTGCCAGATATAACCTACATTTTGGATTCTCTAACTTAGGAAGGTAATCACAGGATACAGAGAGAAAAGACAAAAAGGGAAAGTACAGAGAGAGGAGTTCCCAGAGTATCTTAGCGATCCCCTAAAGAGGGGAACTGGAAAGAATCTGATACACCCAAAGGAGAGAAGGTGATAGACATCTCTGAGGAGCACCGACTATTCAGTGAAGGTGTTAAAGGCATTCCACAATAGAGGGGCAAGGAAACTGAGCACTAGGGAGGAAATATAGTCCATGACATGGGTAGGGAGTAATATACTACCAGAGCAGATCACAAGGTGCAGTAAACTCAAGCAATTCTGGAAAAAAAGCATACCAGAGGCATGTCACTGTTCTGGATCTGGAGAACACTTTGTGGCAATACACAAGTCAGGAAAGCACCAGAAAATAGAGCCCAGTGCCCAAAGGTCGCAGTTAAGGATAGCCATGAAATCTTCAGACCAGCAGGGAATTAATACAGACTCCAAAGCTTTTTGCTGAGGATACACAGATCCAGACAGCTGCTGGGAAGAGACTAGCTCAACCAGCATCAAGTCGTGAGTGAAGTTGCCAAAGAAAACATGTCACAAGTATCCTGACTGAAGAGAAAGAATCCCCAAATAAACCAGGTTTTCCTCAGCAGAGTTTAGCAAAATGCACCCAATGTTCTAGGACACCAGCAAAAAACGGAGGCATGCTGGTTTGAGGCAGGTTATACAAGGGCTAGCTTAACTTTTTTTGTTTGCCAGCGTCGAAACCTCCTGAAGACAGCAGTATACAGCCACACGTCCAAGAATTACGACAACGCTTTGTGCCTCAATCAACAAAAACATTTAATGTTTTTGCTCCTCTGAGTTGTACTTTGTTACCAAGGCAAAAAGCTTTGTCTATGACCAACTCTTCAGTGAAATGACCATAACAATGAAAAAACAAACATTCTTTTATTAATGTCAACTTTACACCAAGGCCCCGCTTCACCTTAAAACATTTGTGTGGATGTCGGCTTTACGATTTAGACATGCTTGAGAAATGGCATAGAAGGTTAGCTCTTGTTCCTGCTCCACGAACTGAACACAATTTGCATCAAAGTGTACTCATAACAGTAATACCTTCAGTATGCATTGTGCATGCAAAAGAACAATATGACATCCCAGTTCTGTCTGAGGAACAGTAATGCAAATCTGTAGTCTGGTGATTTGCAAGTGTGCATCCTCTTGCTTATCCAAGATATAAAGGGTTCAGAAAGCGGTCACATAAAATGTACTGGAAGGGACAACAGGGGGAATTTATCAAAACTGGAGCAGAAGAATCTGGAGCAGTTGCCTACAGCAACCAATCCGCTTTTATCTTCAGTTTGTTCACTTTAGGTTTAAAAATGAAAGGTGGATGCCGATTGTTGCCATGGGCAACTGCTCCAGTATTGATACATTTCCCTCCTTGTCTTTACCTTTGACAAAGGGGCCTGATCATTATTATCACTGGGCAGGGGGGGGGGGCCTCACTACTATCAGCTCATATACAGAACACTTGCCTTAATGCCTGAAAATGCGTGAAAAAAAATTTAATATATTTAATGTTGCAGAATAACACACATCTTTTCATTCACAACAATAACAAGCATAAAATACAGTTATTAATATGCATTAAACACTGCTGCACCCAAGATACAGTCAGTAATCAATTTTGAAACATCAAGGCACTTGTCAAGTGATAACCCCACCCAGCAGTTCTGTGCAGAGGGCAAGGAGTCTCATCTGAGAAAGTGAGTGTGATCGGTATAGTACCACACACACGGACTCTCTTGCAGAATGCCGTCAGTCCTCAGAGGAACACATATACATGCAGCCACTTTGAAGACACCTTTGCAAGTATTATTGTACAGATGTGATCAAGTAATTCTGCAATAAATACAAAGCTTTAGTTCGGCTTTAAATAGAATGCTTACAAAGCAAAGTGTGCTAAGAAATGGGTTAAAGTGAAAGCAATTTACAGGTATAACACTTGATTACATACATCAACTCCTCTTTCCCCAGACCGGCAAAATTGCGTACCTGTACATAAAAAATCCGTGAGCTTGTTACAATTTCAAACAAGTTGTCCCTCATCATGTTGTCACTGCAGAGAGAAGAAAACCATACAAGTTGCAAGTACATTACTATACGATGACTTACTGACACTGTATTGATGCTATTGTCAAGCCCTTGCGGGCACAAACATATTTTGCTTACATAAGCCAGTTTTCTATTTGTAAGCTGTGCAAAACCTTAAATAAAGAATCTATAAAAAAAAAAAAAAGAAAACCATACAACAGTTTCTATATTGATGTACATTTAGGTTCAGTGAATATTAAATGGCAGGTGGCTGAACGAGGAGGCAAGGTCTTGTAGGTTGCAGCCTAAGGTGGCATTGTGTTAGAGGGGCAGCAGACTGAATCTGTCAGTTATAAAACAGACCTGTGGAATATACAGAATCTAGGAAACTTTGCAATTGAGAGCACAATTCACCTTAAGGTTCACTTTTACACAAGATGGCCACTGTAGAGGATTTAACCATGCTAACTAAGAGGCACTTCTCATTGGTCAGCACCATCACCTGAACGTGCTGATAAACAAGTGCTCACAACTTGTGAGCGAAATTAAAAATCCACAGCGCAGGGCTGCGCTGGACAGCAGTATGGGGTACAGATAGTGCACCTGTGCTGGCGGAGTGAAAGGACCGTTCACCAAAAGGTAAGTATAGCAATGAGGGGAGAGGGGCCAGATTTGAGCAGGTAATTACATTTTCACAAATTACTCAGGAAAGTGAACTTACCCTTTAATGCACATTGTGCGTGTTAGGAAGCGCTGCTGCCCGGCTACCACAATACGGCAAACAGTGGAATGAGGGCAGCACGCAAGCACACACAATGCCCTACGTGTGCATTTATTCACATGCAGATGGTGGGGGCAGAGGGGTTGGTTTTATTTTATTTTTTAACAGTTATTTTTTTTTTTACTTATCACAATTTTTCTTTAATCACAATTTTAGACTTATCGGACAATTAGGCTGCTACAAGGGATAACTTGTACAAAACAAGCGGCGGCTCCCCCGCTCTACATTTAGCCCTGCTTGCCTGCAGCAGGGCTAAATGGAGAAAAAAAAAACACCTGCCCGGCGCCTGAAACTACATGTTCCAGGCGTTGGGCGCACCCCTGCAATACATTAAGAAAAATCCACACATGCCGGATCTAAAACTGTAGAGCTATATGAATTAATCACCAAAGTGGTGTCCATACTCTCCAAGCAGCCCATTTGTCGGACGTCCAGCGCACATGCTACCACGGAGGACATAAAAACAGCTTAGGGGTCTTGAGAGTTCACTGATGATTTTTATACTGTTTATGCAAGACATGGCAAAGCCTCTAGACAAACTTTATTTTTAATGTGATTTAATTTAATACATTTTTGATACACTATTTTATCTATAGTTTATCTATGCACCACTGGCTGCATTATTACTTGGACATTTTTATTTTCACGTTTATAAGTTATTTTTGGCACAGAGCACTTTTTTATGAACTGCTTCATTTAGATTTTCACTATATGACTTGTGTTTCACTGCAGTTGATTAGCTTTATTTTTAGGTGTTTTTATTCTTGTGCTTATTTTTTGTTTCAAGTTTTTATCACTATTTGTTTAGGGCGCTCGATACATTGATCAGATATAAAATATTAACGCTACACATATTAATACATTTCATTGGTTTTTGGATTGATTAGGTTAAACTAATGATTAACTTTTGATCTGCAGATGAATGAAACAAAGTAAATACAAAAATAATGTCACATTGTATCTCTATCTTGTCTGAACAGTGTTTACAGGCTGTCGTATTAGCTGCTGTATTCACACAGCAACCTACAACTGTCATTCTGGCAGCTGGGAATTGCTGGCAAATACGGCAGGGAAACATCAGCAGGACAGAAGGATAGGGTGCGTGTAGCACGCCCAATGTCCACAACTGGTTAAAGGCCACCTTCTGGACAGAGGCTGATCATTCTGCTCACAAGTGCACTGGGCACAGATTGATGTCAAATGGACATATTTCACTTCTACATATGGCAAATACAAAAAAAAAAAAGTGTATTTATTTATGCAAGCTTTCAAGAACTCTGTAGGCAAAACATTTTGTAGCCACAGCAACGGTTCTTTACTACTTGCCTATTCAAGCAGAAAAGCCACAAAAATACTTTACTAGAAAAAACTTTCAGCAGCTTTTGACTATCTAAAAATTGGCTTCTAACAGCTGCATTTTAGACTGAGTATCTCATTGTGGCACTGCTCTCTCCATACAGAACTGACCCCCCCCCCCAAAAAAAAGTCTGAACTGCACTGCATCCTTCATCTGAGCCAATGACTAACTAGAAAGTGAACCCAGAATGACAGGTTTGCTTTAAATACAAGGCAGGCCTCCAAACATTCTCTGCTGTGACTGTTAGCATTTTATGCATGTTGGAATAACACGACGACATCAAACAGTGCAATATTACTACTTTATTTAGTGATCGTTAAGCAAACTCACCTCTGTTTGCACTCCTGTACTTTCTGCACCTCTCTCAGCTGTATTACTCGCAGGGGCTCCCTGTCCTATGACATAGAGGTAAAGTTAAAGCAGGGAAGTGAATTCTAGAACAAAGCCAGGACTGATAATGAAGGAGTAGAGCAAAAAACAAGGCCTACCGATTCAGATTTGAAGTATCCGATTGTGTTTTCATCTAGGAGAAAGAACCTTCTTTTCCAGTTCTTCATCTTTAGGGAAAAAGCGACATGAGAAAGTCAGTCATTTTCTACATTTATCTTTTGGAGTTGCAGGAAATAGAACAAAAAGAAATATTAAAAGCTGCTATCACAGACCTCCTTCTGAAAATGTTAGTTGTTTGATTCGAGGGACCAACTCATAAGAGGCATGCAATTATCAAAGACAGAGCTAAGTCACAACTCCATATCTGCATGCTTGTTCCTTTCCTGGTTATCGACTTGATAGGTTTGGAAGATACTATATCTGCAAAACAGCCATCAAACTAGCATTTTCAGGAGGAGAGATTTCCTTTAAAGGATAATTACACTTTTCCAATATAATAGAGAGAGTCCTGCTCTCCAGTGACGTGACGTGCCTTCTGTGCTAGGTGAGGTATCACCCATCCAGCCAAAGCCCCGCCCCCAGCTTGGTAACCAAGCTGTGTGGGGAGGAGGAAGGGAGGAGCCTCCTTGTCCCTCACTTACTCGTCACTGGTGAGGCATCGAGATTGATGTCCTCACGCCTCTAACAAAGAGTAGAGGCAGGGACAGCTCTTACCTCACCAAGTTAGGTTACAGAAGCAGTGGGGAAGCCCGCTGCAGTGTAACCTAACTGCCTGTGAAAAGCCGGATGCAGCACTGCTTGTAATTAACAGGCAGCTCTCCGTCCATAACAGGTTACACAGTGGGGAGGATTTCCCTGCTGTGTAACAAGCCGATCTGAATGGAGAAAAAGCTGCCACCTTCAGACTTGAAGCTGACACCTTTTTTCTTCATAATACTAGGTGAGGATCTGCCTCCCCTGACCGCACGTCCCTGCTGCCGTCCTATCAATCTCATAAGCTGCTGTGCAAATCACCAGATATCGTGATAATCTATCCATTTGTACCAGATTGCACTGCTATCCACAACCCCTAAAAAACAATCCATTGTAATAACAATATACATACACACCACATGTGCTATTAATACCAAATATACATAAAATAATCTAAATCAATATATAAAATAATGGCTTTTATACTCTCCAAGCTACCTAACAAGAAAAAATATGCAGCAAGTGAATTTAGATGAAAGCCCCCAATTCCTGATCTGCCAATTTGTTCTGGCCAAAAAGCATCACATTGAGTGCAACATCATGACAGCCACGCAAAAAGAATTTTAAAAAGCAGAAATGAACGGTAGTAGCCTACATACTATTTATCACAAGCTTTGAGAACTACCAAACATTTACCCAAAACTCAAATACAAGTTTTAGAAGGACTGAGCATTATATTATGGTGGTGGCATGTCTAAAGACATACTCATCCACAATCTTAAATGATGCATCAGTGGCATATCATAAAGACGTTTTGTGATGACATGTACGGTAAAACACACCACTTGACTTTCTATCAGTCCAAAGAAGTGTCTATTTCTCAAGAAGATCAGTCTTCCACTACAACTGTAAAATGTTAGGATATGTAAGTTAGCGATTAAAACCAAACAACTATTTAGACAAATCTATTCCCATAGCCCACATTATAATACGGAGTCAACATTTGTTTATCATTAATGGCATATCATCATCTTACCACAGCCCCCTGCTTAACACAGTATCCAGCTTTTATCGTGCTCCCCTCAGATAACCGATAAGGGGGAGATGGGAGCTGGCTTTGGCTGCGCTTTAGGTTGCCTTTGTCACCAGTGTTGGCACATTCACTGAGTTCTTGCTGTACAAGGAAAGAATAGACAATACTTCAGATTTACTTCGGGAGCCGGAGGAAAGTTATGCAAGGAAATGCATTCAAGATTTACAATATCAATTTACTAAACTGTCAATATGGTGTCTATTCTATTCACTTAACTTTACAAACAACATTTATTTCCGAATGATCAAGTGAGGCAGTTGTGGTGCCATCTTCTATGAGAGTTCTGACATATCGTGGAGGTATAATTTGAGTCATTATCTTGCTGTAGGATGAACCCCAGACCAGCTAGGAGTAGACCAGAGGGCACTGCACGGTGATGCAAAATGCTGTGGTAGGCCTTTTAAAATCAGGGTTCCAGTCACATCGTGCAAGTCGCCAGTTCTGAAGTCAGCAAAACAGCTCCAGGCCATTACACTTCTTCCCCCATGTTTTAAGGTTGCCGTAATTGTGTTACCCACTCAACAGCATATAAAACCACACTTTTCAAATGTTACCATTTTGATTCATCAGTCCGGAAGGACTTTCTTCCAGTCTGCAGTAGTCTACTGGTGGTGGTTCCAGGGCCACACTTTTTTTTTTTTTGCTGTTTCAGCAATGGCTCTCTCACTGCCACTCTCTATCCATTAAACCTGCATCTCAAAGACTTCTAATAACAGTTGAGACTAGCTTATTTAACAGGGAGACTTGCTTATTTAAATCACTGCTAAAGTGCAGTTTACTGCTTACCTTTGCACTATGTTGTTCACTGGAATTGAATTTCTTCAAGTCTAATAGAACTTTGATTTCTTCTGATCCACAGTCCTTCTCTTCCTTACGGGAGGCCCCCTGGTATGTATTTATTGATTTTTATTTCTTATACTGACCCTTTTTTAGACAGTTCCCTCAACACATGGGTTCCTCTTCTTTTCTGTCACTGGACTGTCCTCATTGATGCAGAAAGCATCACTGAAGTGGTGATGTCTGCAACCCATTCTGTATCATTGTACTGAAAATGCAGTGTGTGCAGTGATGCCCTTTGGCACCTTATACTACAGGAAGTGGGTGGAAAGATGCTGGGCAACAATCAACCTGGAACTTTAAGTCTATGTAAGATAGCACCAGAATGGAGGCAGGTACTGCAACAGAGCTGCATTTTCATTATGAATGCGTTTCTACCTTTGTAAAACTAGAAGTCGGCTTTAAAATTTCAATAGAAACTAGAAAAATGGTTTCATAAAACTTTTGATGGGTTGTGTTAATACAGAGCAAATTGAAAACATTATAGAATTGGCTTAAATCAATAGTTTGTGCCTACCTGCGTGGGGGTGATAATAGGGACACCACCCACTATTTCAGTTTTGTAAGAGATCTGCTTTTTACTGCCAGTATATTCAAGCTGGTTGGGCACACTGTCAGCAGGACATGATTGGTCACAAGGTTTTGGTACCTACAAGTAAACAAAGAGATAAAAAGTGAAAAAAAATAGGCTATTAAAATTGGCCTGTTAAAAAACAAGGTTATATATTAACAATAAAAACGTAGACACACACACACACACAGAAATGTATCATGGTAAACCGTAAAAAAAAAAAACTCTCTGCAAACTCCCTAGACAAAACTTTTTTTTTTTTTTGATATAGTTGGATAAGTGCAAGAAGCTCTGCCAAGTTTATACTAATGTGTTCGCTTTGGTGACCACTAGGCCAGGAAGTGAGGAAAAAAAAAACTCCTTTCCAATGGGAAAAGCAGACGGCAATAAAAGGCTGTGTGTACAAGAAGAAAAGGCCCAAAATTAAACAAATTCAGTTTTATTGAGACTCTTAGGCCATAAGCCAATGCATTCCCAGGTTCAAAAGAGTCCCTCTTTATCAGGCCATATAACTGCTGAACAAAGTGTACATAAGACTGAAAAGACTGTACACAAGAGCGGTAATTAGTCTGATGGTTAAGCATCTCACGCAACCTTCGGCCACTACTTCTAGGAAAGCTGCCTAGAGAGAATTATTCCTTCTACACTGCTTAAAACCTAACTGACGACAACTATTTTAAGAGATCCAGCTCCAGACACCTTTTTCCTACTTTCAGAGGCAATAAAAGCCTTATAGAGTTTTTAATCTCTGGTTGACTTTTATATCTCTTAGGGGCTCTTGAAGGTGTATCACTGTTACTACTACTTTACGACCTTATAAATGTCTTTTATGTTACTCACATAAGAGTAGAGCAAAGTGTGTCAGAGGAGAAAATCTGGCTAAAGGTCGGCACTGAACTAGTCAGGTCTGATCTCTATTAAAACAAACACTAGCAGCTAAGAGAGTGCAAGCCACATCTAATGTTCCATTTCATGTAGCTGTACGAAAAGGCTAAGGCTTGTCGTCTTCAATTCAACCAAGGTCTCACAAGAAAGTGATTATTCTGCAGCCAATCGAATGTGTGTGGGAGGGAAGATGGTTTCTAGCAGGAAACCTAGCCTCCCACGGCTCTGTGCTTTTAATAGGCATCAATTCATGTCTTGAGCTGGGAGTTCAAACACAAAGACCATCCTCTGCACTGCGAGTGGAGTCAGGCGCAGCAAAGCCCTGCAGAAAGCCTTTCCAAAAGCCATTTCCTGTGTGAGATGAACTGACAATAACTCATCCTTTTCACTGCTCATAAATGACATCTACTGTAAATGCCAAACACCATTAAGTCAAGGAAAAAAAAAGATCAAAAACAAAGCTTTACTTAAAATTCACCTGTCAGCCATATACTGCACAGACATTTCATGACCAATATAGAATTGAAAGAATTCGGCTTTTTATTTCATTAGGAAAGTAACTTAAAAGACAAAAATCAGATGTTTTATGCTTCTAGGACAGCATTACAGACAATAATAATATTCATACTGTACTATACAAAATAAATTCCTAATTGAAGCCTCTAGCTATAGAGAATTGGTTCGCTCCATAATGTTAGGTAAAGTTTAAAGGTACATATTACACCATACGCCTTACCACCTAAATAAAGCAAGCAATTAATCCTTCCAGTGCAGTGAGGATGGGAGGGTGCAGTGCCTTGTCAATTTTTACAGCTCACGGACATTCAGCTCTAAACACCTAAATTATTAAGATCCATACATTAAAACCTTCTCCCGAGATAGCCCTCTTATCTCTCTTACCAGCCTCCTGGAAAGCCCCAAAAAAACATTTCATGAAAACGTATTCTATGCCGCTGGGTCCCCTCCTCTCTCTCCTGCAACTGTCAGGCTCTTGGTCCATGACCGAGTGCCTGACTTTTCAGAGGGGGTGACACCAAAATGTTGATTGCCTCAAACCTGTGCACATTTCTATTGAACACATCATCTTTACAAATGATCAGTTAGGCCTTTAATCTAATATTGCATCAGTAAGGGGACAAGCAATATGCAGTGCCTTTAAAGTAAACCTGCAGTATGCTACTTCGGAGGCTGCCTTGGCGATTTCTTTTCAAAAGCTAGTTGCCTGGCTGTCATGTAGTTCCAATGACATCGGTGATTTTTAAGAAACTGAACAGGCAGATCGGGGTGAATGACGGCATTACCAAAAACCTTTAGGATGTGCTTGTTCATTGTTTATCCGTGATACTGGCTCAAGAGCATACAGTTCTACAGAGCAGTTGGGGATGCCTTTTAGATCAAATACCTTTCATGAAGCAGCCCTGGACTTAAGATAAGGCTTATCAGACACTGGACAAGAAACTGAACTTGGAAAACTATTCAGCATTGCAGCAGAGCTCTCAGGGGAACGAAGTCAAAAGCAAGAAGATGACATTTAATATTTGCATACTTATGTTGTCTAGTTCTCCTTTTAGGTCATTTTCTTTCCTGTCCTGGGAAGGGGAGATTTGGTTGCTATAGGTAAAAGGGTCAGCATTTCCCACACATCCATCTAGATACATCAGTCATGTGTGAGATTAAGTGTTATACTCACTGTGATTTTGGTTGCTTTATTAAGGACAGTGACCCATTCTACTAAATCTTGCTGATCATTGGCTTGTAGGAAGTATTTTCTCATGCCGGCATTCATTACTGGAAGAGAGCAGCAGACAGGGTAAGAACACAGCTATTCAACACATCAGCTGCACAGATCTATTATACAAAATGTTGCCTACAGTTCCAAGAGGTTATGGTTTCAATTTATGGAGCGTAACACAAAAGGGACTTTCTTTGTTCTAGGAACAGCATCCTGGAAACATTTTATTTGGCACCTAATCCTGCAAACTTCAAGGACAATGCTAAGCTGCGTTCATCTCAGTGTTGGCGACAATAAAGGTCTTTTTGGCATATAATACTACACCAGCATGTGATTCAAGCTGTCGGCAACCATACAAATCTGAGCTTAGCCGTCATTTTACGGGAGGTAGGAGATCCCCTAAATTCTGGGGTAACTGGTACCACTTCTCTGAAAAGTAGGAACATAATGTCTTCCCAGCCATTATAACACCAAGATTGTGCATATGGAGCCAATTACATGCAGCTGAGCATAGTCACACACCAGCACCAGAAATTTCCGTGCTGTGCTTTGCCTGTTAACCCTCAAAATACCATATTTTACCTGGCAGATATTTCTGTTACTTTCAAATGAGGTCTCTCTATGCCGTAAGGCTAACAGTTTACTGCAATTAAATTTAACTTTCTTTCTCAAGTTGGCCACACATTTTGCAATCTGCTTCTACACTTTCCTTTCGATATACCAATAATTAAAGTGGAATTCCAGCTTAGATTAAAAAAAAAGAAAATGTAAAATTGTCCACTTGGTTGAAAAATGAAAAAGCAGCTCTCCGTGCCGCCTCTCAGGTGTCTCTATCCGAGGTTCAGCGCCCTCATCTTCTGAGTTTAATGATGATAGAAAGGGGAGGAGACGGCTGGAATGTTCTGACATCAGCCCCTCGTATTACAAATAGTGGTTGGTAAATCTAAAGGAGATTGTACAGCATTTGTACAACCAGATTGTAATTTGTGTGGCCACCTTGACCTTCTAATCAAAATGAAAAAAATTACTTAATTTTAAAACAGAACACACAAGCATCCTTGAAAGCCCTCACTTGTCTTTCAGCAAGAACACTCACTCTGACCTTTAACAAGGACTAATAGACTCTTGACAACATTAAGTTTAGCCACATAATGAATTGTCTACTGCGGTTACTTTGTTTTTTATCGATTGGCTTTTGCTACCCAACTCTCTCACGCAGAATACTTACTGGGCTAAATAAAGCTAAAACTCAAGGACTCTGCAGGCCCAGGATTATACACACAGCAGTAAAATGCACTTATGTGCAATCAGTAACACACATTTTTTAAAGCAAAATTGTACACGGGTTTTCAGGTTGTGACTGCATCTCATTGGGCACTTATGGGAATCATTGTATGGAAAAAGCCATAACCCAACACAGGCCCCCCCCAATGCCTGTCATTGGTTGCTAGGACCGCAGGCCACTTAGCAACTTGGCCACAGTGTCAGTATGGAGAGCAGGAGCAGAGCAGGGAATGCCCATTCCCCAATCTGCTCTGTGATCACTGAAGTATGAAGTGCACTCAGCACTTCATGCTTCAGCTGTCAGAAGCCGACTGAAGTGCGGGTGGAAACAGACCATCAAGCACATCCCTGACTGCACTACTGAAGCTTTTGGAGGAACTAAACATCCCAGAATACCCTGCAGGCTGGAGGGAAACTAGGTGCATTATTACATCATGTTTTATAATGAAGCAGAGGTGTATGCCAAAGCTTCCCTGGACCGCAGAACACCAAACAAACACAGTATAGAGTGTACTCAAGAAGTCAGAAAGAGACTAGGATGAGATCACTGCCATCTTCTTTACACTGCACGTCTTGCTGCCTTTTAGTACTCAAACTGTAGAAAAACCTAACTTTATGCATACTTCCAAAAGTCAATTCCATATACAGTACTGTGCAATAGTTTTAGGCAGGTGTGAAAACATTTCTCGGCACTGAGGACACCATTGATCCTGACCAAATCAACTCCATTGGCAGCCCCAGACTTGCAAAGAACCTCCACTGGCCAATCAGGAAGCCGGGAGGCAGGTCATTACTCGCCAGCCAGCTTCCTGATCGCACTGGAAGCTGGTTCTATGTTCCCCGTCCTCTGACCGGAGGTTATGGTACCGGGGAAGGTATCGGAGCATTTGGGCTAGTACGAGTACTTGCACCTATAGCGATGCTAGTATCGGTATATCCCTAGACAGTATTATGGGTCTGTCTATGCTATTAAGGACTGTAAGCACCTGAATACAAAAAAAGTCCATATTAACTGTCTGATGGTGTTGCACTCTGATCAGTTCTCCGGCGCAGCGTACAGATGATAGTCTATAGAATGGCATGTGAGGAATGTACAGGAAATACTAGTGAGAGCAGGAATTCAGGGGACAGGTTGGGGCCAGTCCTCTAGGAGGGTGGCTCATCTGACTGTAGACATTACTATGATATATTATTCAAAATGCAGCAACAAGATAATCTTCAATAGAGCAAAGAATTCATTTTAAAACTGTGCAAAAGGGAACACATACCTGACTATTTATGTGGGGGAATTCCAGCTCACAACATACGTGTCTCATACAATACAACAGTGCTAAAACTACACGTTGGGATGAATATGCAAGTCACAAAATATGCTTATAGAAGAGAATGCTACACACTGCGGCCTCATTTGTTATTGTTATCTGCAACCTTGTCACCACTCACCTTCAAGCTGCAGTAAATGCTTGAAAAAAAAGAACAAAGTATAGGATTCCTCTCTATTGTCCTTCATGAACTATCATATTTACAGTTGTCAAGAACTGTTCTCCTTTGTGCTTCAAAGGAAAAAAAGTTTTCAAAGAAAGAGAGCGACGTCTAACGTAACACGAGTTAGATAGCAAGGAAGCTGCTCAGGAAGAGAGGAAAATGAAGCACATCTATACAGGAAGCTTGGACTTAAAATAGCTGATCTCAGGAGGGTCTGCTGAACAAAAGTCTGCATTCAAAAAAGCTCCTGAAAGCAGCAGTAAGGGTGTCTATCCAAAATCAGATCAATAGGCATTTTAGCTCAAGCAAAGGAGATACTTTCTATTGAGTGACACGTTTTATAGGACACAGCAAAAACTAAAATAGGTCAGTTTTACCATGAAGCGCTAACTCACATTTTCTAAACGTTAGGTCCAACAAAATCAATGGCAGCTGAAGCTAAGCCTAAAGCACTTGCAGCATCTGATAAACGGGTACATATGACATAGAACTGTCACAAACCAAGAGGAAGTTAGGCCACTTGAAAGAGTGACCTATTTCCAAAGATGAATTACTCTGATCTGAAATACACACTTTCTACATGTCTCTGAGGCCTCAGTGGTTATACAAATCACCTGGTAGGATCTCATTCGAACACCCACCTAAAAATGAACATCAGTTCTGAATGGACTTAGCCTTTGGTATGAACAATTAGCACCCAAAAGCCTATGTAAACTAAGCAGATAAAAACAAATTGCAATAATAGTTAAAAATCTCACTCCAAATCTCCTGATAGTAGCAGTCACAGGTGGCAGTGCCTTAGATCTCACACGGCACATATACAGCTATGCGTCTGTAGGTATAGGAGTGCTTAGGCAACCTCATATCAGGAAAGACACTGCGCTATTTAAGGAGGAATGCTAGACAAATGATATTTTCTTTAGGGTAATGTTTAGGCGTAATTATCATTTCCAAATGTTCTCTCTAACAAACCAAAGCTTCGATTTTTGAACTCCGGTCCAACTTAAAGTATATGCAAATGCATTTTAAAGTTTTGCATAGAGTACAGTACTGTTAGGACCATTTGTCAAGTTTTTTTTTGCTGCCTGTGTCCCTTCTGATTCACCCCTTTATTAATTCTGGTGACCACCGTCACAGAAACAGAAAGTGAGGGGAAATCTAACATTTTGAGTTGTCACCAGAGCAAGAGGTGATCAAATTGGACATCTGTTCCTGTGACAACTCTCTATGATGTAAATTCGGTTCACTTTGTTACCTATTGCTTCTCCATGTCAGAAGGCAAATCTCCCCAGTAGGAAAGACGAAGCAAACATAAACTAATAAGGGTTTTACCCTTCCCTACGCTACATCTAAAGCTAAAAAACATCAAAGTCTTGGCTTTATGTACACTTTAAAAACTTTAGGTAGGTTTTCAGCTTTGTTCTGTTGGGGGTTTCCTAGTAACCACACCAGAAGCGATCATTGTCGGCAGGACAACAAATAAAGGGGTAATGCCAATTGTTACAGTTGACACTCGCTAGAAGTCAGGGGACATATGTGCAAAGTAAAGGAATATAGCCTCTTACAGTTATCACAAGAACAGATGTCTCCAGATTTTCCCTCATTACCTTTACCAGTGACTACTTTTTGGTAATTTTGCTTCCACTGACTTGGACATGAAACTAAGTTCATATTCCCCCTAATTTTTTTTCTCAGAGACAAGGCCACCAGGACTAACAGAGAGAGCGAATCTCCCCAACAGGGACATCAAAACTAATAAAGACTGAAAGAGGCTTGAAGCCTTGTTTTGTTTTTTTCACTATCTGCATCAGACAAACATAAGCAGGAACTCAGTAAGTGGCCAAATCTTCACTTTTTTTCCTCTAGTATTTAAACATCAAATTTACAGTCCAATTTATAATTGTATCTGTGCAAGAAGGGAACTCAACGCTTCACTAGAGATCACATGAAGCAATGCTGAAAAAGCACACAAAAATCACATACTCACCAAAACAAAATTCAGCTTTTGGTCTAAGCTTGGTGGCATCGCTCACCTGTCAAGCAAAAGCATGCAATGAGACCAACAAAAATAAATAGGCAAGTCTCCGCTACATGCAGAAACAGAAAGCAAACAGATGACAGGGCCAGTTTGGATCTAGTTCTCAAACTGGTAAAACGCTTACCTTTGAAATATATGTGAGCTTAAGACACCCTACAAAGGGGGAACCTGCAGGAAGGTTCTGCAAAAACAGAATACATGCAGAAGTAAAACAAAAAATAAAATCACATTAAAAAAATCAGGAAAACACAAGCAGCAATATAAAAATAACTCCATATTCCCCCTAATTTTTTTCTCAGAGACAAGGGCCACTGGGACAAAATGAGAGCGAATCTCCCCAACAGGGACATAAAAACTAATAAAAACTGAAAGAGGTTCCAAGCCTTGTTTTTTGTTCCCTACCTTCATTAGACAAACATAGGCTGGAAAACAGAATACATGCAGAAATAAAAAAATAAATCAAATCACATTAAGAAAACAGGACGACACAAGCAGCAATACAAAAACCACAACTTTATATCATACATAAACTAGTGAAAAATATTGACATTGACCAATTCACCTGGTTTGCCAGACCACTGGGGTATACGCTAACCAAAAAGAGGGCAGTAGCATAAGAATAGACAGCTAGCCTTGCTCTATACACATGTCTGCAGCGTCCTATGCTGTTTATCATTGCTGTGTACATCTGGCTTACCTGTGGATTGTCCATGTACCAAAGCAGGCTATTCTGGCTGGTGTCCAAGATGAAATATCTCCGCAGAAACTTGCCACTGTTTTCATGCTCCTCGATGTCCAGGAAGCCACAAATGCGATTCTGACGATCCACATAAGGCATGTCTGGACTGGAACATTACCCTGCATGAAATGAGTCACAGCTCTCATCAATTTTATTACACAAACAAGTAGATGGATACAATATCAAATCCCCCTCTTCATCAGACCATGACCTACATGAAGGGTAAGATACTCTCAGTCTAACTGCACCGTAAACACTGGTTTTGTTGGAGCTGAACTTACCTCAATGGATGTGAACACAAGTGATATTTAAATGGGTTTATGCACTGTATATTTAACTGTGAAAAAAGGAGATTGTCATTTTCCTTCTCCCTTTTGACCCGGCCGATCTGTCCCATGCTGCAGTGCATGCATGTAGTGTCCAGGTGAGGTGGGCTATGTCAGCCTAAGATGACTTTACTGCCACAGTGCTACAATTCTGGATCCTACAACCCATTATGGGATGTGATGAACAAAGTCATGCATTGCATCCTGGATCTTAGGCCACTCTAAAAACACACCTAAACGTATTTTAACATACCTGGCTTTTACACATTTCTGAACTGATGTTCTTCTTGGAAAACACAATGCCAGAAGACATGCATCCAAACACCAAAAAAACATGACACCAGTGTGCATAAGGCCTGAAACTGCACCTGCACCCAGACCATGAACATGAAACTGTTTACATAGCCTTACCAAGTAGTAGACACGCTGATCCCTGAGCTCTGTGGGCGCTTTTAAAAGGTGAAGTTATTAATGCTCAAAAGATCCTCAAAGTTCATAACCAAAACTCCAGGGTCGGTTTCGGCACATGCACCTGTGACTCATAGGCGCAAAAATACACCCGAATTTTATGTTGTATGACCCCAGGTGCCCATATGCAAAACAGCTTAGAAACATGTGCTGGATGTTTACATTAGAAGGCTGGCAGCTTGCCAGGAGTCTATTCCCAGAGAAAAACCCACTGCCTGTGTTGTGAACTTTGAAAATGAATTTCTTCACAATGCTTATAGACACCAAAGTGAATGAGGGTTGTTTTTTTAAAAGTACTTTTACTGCTTGTTCATAATATGTAAATAATCTAGTGTGCATATACTGGTCAAAGGTTCACTTTAAATGTTCCTACCAATAAGTCAATGATTATGAACTACCCTTCATACTAAAGTACACCTACATTTAAAATCAAAAGCTTGAATACCAGTGATTCGTCAGCACAAATGAATAAAACTAACAGGGTTATTCACAAAAGGGTGAAGAGTTTGGAGAAGGCAGGAGACGTGAACAATCTAGGACAACATAGCTGAACTGGAGAATTTTTACAAATTAGCTACTTTGGCCTAGATTGTTCACTTCTCCTGCCTTCTCCAAACTCGTCACCCATTAGTGAATAGACCTGAAAGTAATTAGTAAACAAACATACCTTTGGTATATAAATTACTGAACAGAAATAGAACACTGCAATGTATGTGCCAATGCATAGGCACCCACCCCTCTGTTCTAGTCACTTGGGGGCCTATCAGGAGTTTGACATAATCAGAGGAACTCCTGCTTCAGCTTCAGTTTACTGGATCACACACATAGGGGTCTATTCACTATGCTGCCGAGGGCAGCCGAGTGAATGACCGATCAGAAGTGAAGTGAGCCGAACACTGTTCGGCTATTCACTTCAGGCTGGTATGGCTGATTTCAGCCGTACATCGGCTTGCTTCGTGTGGCTTCGGGTCGGCCGAACATGCTCAGCATGTTCGGCCGACCCGAATTGCAGAAGGAGTTCGACTCAGCCGATCCAACATCTGGATCGGCTGAGCCGAACCTCCGGCAGGCTTCACCCCATAGTGTCATCAGAGAGCCTGGTCTAGGAACAGGAAGAACTGCTCGGTGATCACCTACGTGGATCAAAACATGCACCTATGCAAAAAGCAGCTGCAGAATTGCAACTTCACCTTATTGCAACGTACACAGTGAAGTATGAATTAAATGACTGCCCAAATCAGAAGTAGGATTGTACTCTATAGATAACGGTACGTAAGACATCACAGTCATGTACTCAACCTTACTGATAATAGCCTATGTAATGTATAGCCTTTTATTTGCTTTTGCTAACATGTGGAAGTGTTAAACCCCATGTCAGGTTTTTATTAAAAGAAAAGGATTGGGGAACAACCCAAAACCATCATGTATCATTTGATGTAGGCTACTAACATGCACAAAATGTGGTGGCCCAAAAGGAACTTATGTAAAATGAAAAGGCTGAACTCTGGGCGGCTCTGCTCTCCTCACCACCCGCTAACTAATCACCGGCATCACAAATAAAGAAATCTAAATGCTCCTTTTACTCACCCGAATCTGTGGTCACTTGATGTTCCAGTCCCAAGTCTTTTTTCCTTGTGTGTACAGTATGAAGGATTTTTTTTTCAGGTCCAGCGCCGGGGTCCTCAAGGGAACTAGAATAGAGTCTGCAGGTAATGCCAATTGTGCAAAAAGACCGGCTGACGCAGACACATCTGCAGCGGTGGATTGCTGGTCCCCTGTACCCAGAAACAACACTGGTGAGGGAACTGGATGGCAGACTTAGAAGTATAAAATTCTCCAGAAGGTATTTTCAAAAAAAATTTCATGAATGGGTTAGAGGGTGGCAGGGGCTTAGGTTTTCCTGGAGATGGGCTTTAAATATGCTCCAGCTACCTACTCCAATCTGGAGGGGCAAAGACTTGTAAAAGAACATTACACATTCATTGAATAAAAACCATGCATTAATTTTTTCCCCCTTTATAATGGATAATAGATGCCAATGGATGAATCACCCATGGTTTTTCCCATCATCCCCACCTTGATGTCTCTCTTCTCTGGATGCAGCAAGAGGATTCTCAATCCTATAACAGCACATACAGCTACTGTATGACATATCGGATGGACCTGTAGTTTCTGTAAGATACACTGTGCATCATAGCTGCTTTATAATGCAGGGTAGAAGAGATCTGTGATGCAGCCCAGGAGATGTAGTTGCTATATTATAGTGTATAACAGGGATCAAAATTTCCACTCGCCCGCTCGCAATTGGCGAGTGAAAATTGCGTGGGGGCGAGTGGAAATCCAGGGGGGGGACTTCCGCCGCTTCGGCACCGCTGATCGCTGTCTGTTTCCTCCACCCGCTTCTTGGAAACATAGCTGATATTAGGTTCAGTATATAAGCTTCTACATGATGTTGAAAGCAAGAAAGTCATTACTGAACTGCCAAGCAAAGTCATTCTAGCAAGTAGGAGATGCTACAGAACAAATATTCTTATTGTACCACTTCCCAAAAATACAAGGTTTAGTTTTTTTTCCACTTTAAGAGGAAGCTTAAACAGTGTAAAACGATGTATTTTACACAGACGGAACAATCCATGTCTTAGAATGATTGCAGGAAATGTAGCTACTAAACACACACACGGGGTTAGAGAGCAGCTCCTTATTATAACGGGAATATGGGTCTCTCTGAGCAAAGGGCCACCCTAGGACAACAGGACAAGGAGCCACCATCAATATACTCTTTTCTACTGCTGAATGCTATTAGCGTAGCAAACATTAGGCCAATTGTTCGGAATCACGGAAACAATTGCAGGACGCGCAAGACTCGCCCCCCCTTCATCCTGGGGTTTTCCTCCAGCACAGCGTAATTACCCCTCAGAGATGGGGACTAAAGACCGGCAGCCCTTGTGGACAAATTCTGGGCGCAGCTAGGAATGGGATGGAGGGATATGGAAAACAGGCGCATACTTACTTCCCCCCCATTCTGCTGCGGTTCCACTGGGAACAAAGATGGTTTTCTGAAAACTGGGCCTATGAATATTCATAAAACTATTAAGGATTTCAGCTGGGATGCACAGACAAAGGATCAAAACTATTTTTTTCTTCTTGTTACAGTACAGAGCATTTAGAAACAACAGACCATTCAGTGGAAACAAATGTGATAGCTGGAAGAAGGAAAAAGAAGCTAAAAGAATAAACGTCGATTCATTTTACGGATTGCTTCACATTTTGTCGGTTTAACTTTTAGCTATTTAAAAAGGTACATTCACATTCTTTTCAAACGTTCATTCATTAAAGAGACCCTGTCGCTAAAGTAAAATAAACTGTGCAGCAGCCTCCCAAACTTTCCTGGCACAGCCAGATCTGACAGGCAAAGCTCCATCACCCCATACCCACACATACTACAAGGCAACCCCATAATAAGTAGCTTCACTGGCCAAGAGGAATTTGTAGGAGGTAAAAAGGCCTAGGCAAGATTCATCACCATCCGGAAAACTGAACCTTTGAAAGGCCCAGCTTTCATTTTAAAGACAGGGTTGTTTTAACCCCTTCGTGACTGACGACGTACAGTGTACGTCGCCAGCATCGGGGCTGTTTAAACAGACTCCCGGCGACTTTTGCCGCCGGGACTCTGTTTAAACTTGTAGAGCCGACTGTCGGCACTCATGAAGGGTTAAATAGCAAATGTAGGGAACGGGATGAAACTAATTCCACATAGAAAAATAATTTATTTAACAAAGAAAAAAATTCCAAGAGGTAAGTAAAATCTACCCTGTTATTTAGCCACAGCAGGTGGGCAAAAGCTGGGAATTGAAGAGAAGTGCAAATTTCTAGCTGTGTGGTCCCTAAGGGCTTGTTTACACCATATCTGGACCAGATCTGGAGCAGATTTGCAAACGCAGTGCGTTTTGGTGCTTTTAGCTTAAAATGCCTTCAGGTGCAGTACATTTGCATGTACGTATGCATTTACATGCATTTTAGTGCGTTCCAGAAAAAAAAAATTGCATGTAGCATTTTTCCCCCCGCAGCGGAAGGGACTGTACCGCTGTGAACAGAGCCCAGAAATACCATAGGAATGCATTAGGATCCATTTCAGGTGCGGACATGATGTGAGCAAGCCAGAGACATAAAACAAGCCAACAAGTGATTTTACCTTCTAACTTCCACTTGAGTAACTGTAGCAATTAGATGGTCAAGCACACAGACAGGCAAACTTGAAATTTTAGAGGTTGCTTGGCTAGAAAATGAATGATGTATATATAGGCAAATTGAAGTTAAACACAGGT